TATCATTACTAAGGTTTGATTTGATAATTTCGAATAAATTGAGCATTGAGTAGATTGTGATAAGTAAATGAATATATGAGCGAATAATTGTTTCTTCAATAACTTCATCATCAGGCTCTACAGTTATAAGTCCATCATTATTGTGATATTTTTCACAAAGGCCAAAAATAAGGCATGTATTAATGAATTTGACAATGTTATATGTTAGAAATGGTGCACGTTTGCATCTGTTACGAAATATATATACTTCAAAATGGTTACCAAATCGATTAACAGCACCATTCTTTCTCACTTGGTAAATAGTGGACATCACATCAAAATAGAGGAAGCTTTCTCTGTTTTATATCAAGTTCCAAAATATCTACCTCGAGGAGCTAGATTACGATTGCTTTACATAGCCGAAGCCATATGGATCAACTGCAGAAAACCAAATTTATGTATCCAGAAAAAAATATATTCAGCCTCTTTGTTTACCTTGGCCTACGACTGGTCCACCGAATACCTAGACTGAATATTATAAACCTCTTACTCCTTTCCTTTATTTTTATTTCTTTATTGTCATTATTTGTGATTATCTCTATCTTAATCTTCACATCCATCATTCCCAATTTGTTTATCATAATTACCTTGACAACATCCCCCCTCCCTTATTACATATTATATTCACATAACAATCTTATTATTATTATCTCAAGTGACGAGATTAAATTCTTCTAGTATGCATTTTATTCACACCATTTTTTGCATTTTCATTTTTGCTATAATACTATTCTACTGATCGGGACTGAACGCTTTACTACAAATCATCCTGACCTTTATTGAATGACCTTTCTAATTTGCAAATAATATCATTTTGAAGTACAGATATGTCATAACAGATGCGAACGTTCACCATTTATAACACATAACATTGTCAAATTCCTTAATACATGCATTATTTTTGGCCTTTGTAAAAGATCACAAATATTTATGGACTTATAACTGTAGAGCCTGATGATGAAGTGATTGAAGTAACAATTGTTCGCTCAAATATTCTTCATTTTTGAATATTCTAAGGGGATTTTTAAACTACACAAATGACTGACTTCAAGAGATACTGGGAAGCCGTTACCAGTGGAGTATAACCACGTCTGTTGTGAGATATCAGTTCACTGAAGACAATGGTATACGGTGGCGCAACCTCGTGGATTGGTTGAAGTTAGACATTAACACCGTTAGATGCCGACTCAGTGGTCTAATGGTTAAGTGCTCGCGTGCGAAGCCAGTAGGTCTCGGGTTCGAATCCCGCGGGGTGCGGGCCGTGAATGCGCACTGCTGAGGAATCCCATACTAGGGCGAAACCCCCGTCCAGTCTCCCCCAGGTTTCTCATGGCGGTCTAGCTTCAACTGACTTATGATTTCAACCTGTGGAATATATATTTGTAGATATCTCAATGAGTAGAAAAGTCAGATTTTCTGATGTTCCATGACTTTGTGTGAGCTACTTCTTCAGAGAACTTGGATTAGTTTTAATCTGGTTACTTATTCTCTGAAGAAGTAGCTTACACTAAGTCACGAAACACCAAAAAATCAAACTTTTTTACTTAATGGGATATCTACAAAAATATATATATTGACTTATTTATATCATGCATGTTTATGTATAAGATTGAACTAATTACATTTATGTCAAATTTCATTATTGTACATTTTAGTTACCAGGGTGGAACTTGTAAAATGTAAAATTGAATAATTAGGTATGATTATTGTTTATTTATAAACAATAAAACAAGTTTTTTTTTCATTTTTTAAATTTGTCTTTCCATGCAAAAAAAATTGAAATACATTAAAGTGTAGTCATATCTTTGTAATAAAGATGACCTGTTAAGATGATGGAGAAGATTTATAGTTCAGCTGAATGATTTTGATAGAGTTTTGTTCTTTGGACTAGATAATTATTTGGTTATGGAGCTTCAAGTTGAAGTTTATGCTGAAGATGATGTCATTCAGAAGAATGATGCATGGTCTACAATTAAACCATCGAGTTCAGAGAACAAAACTCCATTAAAACATCATGATTGTTTTTTGTTTACCAGTGACATTAAAAAAAAATTATTGATTAAAATACACCCTTCATATGTATGAACAAAGTTAATTAACAAATAAATACAGTTTTATCATAGTAACTTCAAGTTCAAACCAGGTTAATATTATTACTCTCTACTGTATTATTTCACAAAGAGTACTAAACAAGTTAAGCAAAGATGGATAGCGGCTAATAGTGGAATCTAAGACGCGCGTTTCGTCCTATACGGGACTCGTCAGCTGTATGTACCTGCATCTTAGAGTTGATTTTCACTCTGTGACTAATAAATAGGAATCGGCTTTCTAGGCCATATGAGAGCATTTAGAAGGGAAAAGCGAACTCTCTCCACCCTCAGCCGTATTATGGATTTTGATAGCCAGTTGTTATGTACAGAGAATAAGATCTAAAAGAAATCTTATTGTCGTTTAACTCATTTGCGAAAGAATTTCCAATATCTACTTTAATTAGATCTACCATGCAGTGAAACAGTTTAGATAACATACTGAATAAGTTTGGTACTCTATGATTAGATAAAAATTTCATTACATCTGTTATCATATCAATTCAACATGTTGTTTAGTTCAATCGAGAAATGATGATGACGATTATGATGATCGATTAAAAACCTAACTTTTAACTATTCAGTGATTTGATTCAACACTCAGCTTCTGAGTATCCGAAATTCTAGCCTACTTGTATGCTTTAACCAATCAGAACCATATTTACACTTGTCAGTATGTATCTAGGTCTGGATAACTTAAATGTTGCTAACTATAACTGATTACTTACTTACTTACTTACTTACGCCTGTTACTCCCAATGGAGCATAGGCCGCTGACCAGCATTCTCCAACCCACTCTGTCCTGGGCCTTCTTTTCTAGTTCCATCCAATTCTTGTTCATTTTTCTCATGTCTATCTCCATTTCTCGGTGTAATCTGTTCCTTGGTCTTTCTCTTCTCCTATGGCCTTGAGGATTCCATGTGAGGGCTTGTCTTGTAACGCAGTTGGGTGCTTTCCTCAATGTGTGTCCTATTCACTTCCAGCGCTTCTTCCTGATTTCTTCCTCCGCTGGGATCTGGTTTGTTCTCTCCCACAGTACGCTGTTGCTAATAGTGTCTGGCCAATGGATCCGAAGTATTATGCGTAGACAATTGTTAATAAACACCTGTATTTTCTGGATGATGGCTTTCGTAGTTCTCCAGGTTTCTGATTAGTGAACTTGAAAAATATGACTCAAGAGACTTAATCTACCTGAATGAGCTAAAATTGTGGTTTTACTTGAAATCAATTGTAATATCCTGTTGTTCATAAGATACAGAAAATATCTTATCCTCGGAAATTTAATGCAAATTTATTGTGGTGTGTGCTACTTATATCTACATAAGTAGTAGGAATATAATATCCGGCAGTAGAAGATTGAGAAGATCAAGAAGGAAAGAACGAGAACAGAAAACAATTGATATAAAAATGCAGGAACAGTAAAGAATGAGACGACTGACTGATATTTGCAAAAGGAACAGTTAATTTTGAGAAAATTGATTGACATTTTACACATGTAGTATTTACTATATGGTTTTCAGTTTTTTCCTATGATGTTCTGTAACTCCTTGTTGAAATACATTCGATTTTTTCCATTTGTGTTCTCGTTTACTACAGTATAACAGCTAGAAAAAAGTATTTTATTCCATAGGAAATTCATAGTACACTAATTAAGATGTTTTGGAACTTTCAGAATTAAAGAAGGCGGTTGTTCTTTATCTTTAACTAACTATGATATAGCAGCTTCAACTATCAAGTATGATGTAGTATTGATTATTATCCAATATTACATAACAACCTGATATATATAGCACTGGGCGGCCGTTTCCTCGTATTGTGGGACTCCTTAAAAGTGTGCATAAACGATCAAGCCTCGTGAGATTTGAAGTCTAGTGGTTCATTGCTGTGTTCGAATCTTGCGAAACAGGATTGTGAATGAGCACTAATGAGGAGTCCCATAGTAGGATGAAACGACCAACCAGTGCTTCCAGGTTTCCCAATTGACTCATAATCTCAACTAATGAAATTACTAACCTATCCAGATAAACCCTTTTTTGATTATTTAATTCCGTTATTTACCAACGTAATTTAAGTCGATAATAATATACGAGGATAGCCGATATGTATACTTCAATAGCAATCAGAAACGATTAAACTGCAGTTCAGATATATAGAGCCCTACAAATATCATTAGCTCGTCGATAACATCGTACAATCTAATTGGAGTCACATCACGAGCCACTAAAAACAAAAATGATATAACCTAAGGACATTCATTCAAACTTTTAAAATAGACTCAAATGTACACCTTCATTTGTAGAGAATTACAAGTCTCTTAAATAAAAACAAAAAGTCATTAAAAATATTCTGATTTGATAGTAGTATTACACCAATCAACTAGTTTCCAAGTCTATCATTTCAGCTGCCTTTCATATTGTCATCATTACTCACTTACTTACTTATTTACGCCTGTTACTCCCAATGGAGCATAGGCGTAGTTAGATAGATTGTAAAATTATTTGATTGGTGCAGGTACATCCAACGGATTATATATACATATAGGGTGTTAGTAAAATTGATAAAACAAACTTACTTACTTACGCCTGTTACTCCTCGTGAAGGAGCATAGGCCACTTACCATCATTCTTCATTCAACCCTGTCCTGGGCAATCTTTTCCAGTTCCTTCCAGTTGTTATTCATCCTTTTGTATATCTGTTTCTCTTTCCCGACGCTGATAAAACAAAAAATGTTTATTCATTCATCTATCATATTATTTCTATTATTTCTATTATGTAATATAGTGAATAATTCATCATTCTGTGGTTCTATTTCTCCTTCGAATATGGTAAAACTAGTTTTTCTTTTTTAACTAAACATATTTATTTGATATTTAGGAGCATGGATTACCTATTCATTCTGATAAAATGAATAAACGAAACATGCATCCTCGAAGATTAACGTTCTATCCATATTTTACTGAAAGTTTTCATAGATTGCAGTACTCTGTCAAACTTTTGGTACGTATTATTATAATAAATTTTACTTGTATAATTGTGTAAAGTAGAAACTATGTTATACTATATATATATATGTATATTTTGGTAGAGTTTTGTTCTTTGAGCTGGATGGTTTGGTCGTGGAGCTTTCATCGTTCTACTGGACAACATCATCAGCATAAACGTCAGGTAGAAGTGAAGTGTTCGAATTTCTCCACATGTGGTTTACTGCTTATTCTGTAGACCTTGATGTTGATTGGCTCTTGTTGACCTTAAACCTGTCATCGTTTACTTTTTTTCTTTTGGTTGTATCTTCCATTGGTTTGATTTTTGTTTATAACATGTGAAGAAATTTGAACACATCACTTCTACCTGAAGGTTGTTCTGATGACGTCGTTCAGAAGAACAATGAAAGCTCCATGACCAAACCATCCAGCTTAGAGAACAAAACTCCATCAAAATCATTTACTTGAGCTACAAATCGTCTCCGCCATCTCATATATATATATATTTCATGTAGATTTTTCAGATTTTTTTATCCCATGAAATATCATTTATGGACGACCTTCAAGTAACACTGAAGTAATCTTGAGAGTGCTCACTTAATAACTAGAACCAAACGAGGGTTATAAACCAGTGTGAGGAATTAGATTTATGGTTTTCATCACAAACTGACATCAGCTATCATACCAAAACTCTTTTAAGCCGAGTGGATGAATGAATTTTGAGCAAAAATCCGACACTATTATCTTATACTTGATTCGTTCGTCTATAAATTGTAGCCTCGTCTTTTTTATCAGTCTTTTAATATATATATATTTTACAGGAATTCGCACATCAGGCGATGCAATTCTGGAAAGAAGCATTAACAGTTAAAAGACCAGAAAAAACTAATCAACTTGCTCAAAGGTATCATTTGAATAATTAATTTTCAACTTTTCGATTATTATGATTGTGGTATTGTGGAGATTAATAAATCTCTAACTGAGATTATGAATTGATTGATAATAGATCATCAGTGAAAACCTGCAAGTACTATATGGCCGTTTCGTCTAAATATAGGACACTTCAGCAGTACACATCTACAATCCCGCTCATGGGACTCGAACTCAGGACTTTCAGTCTCGCGCGTGAACCCTAAACTTCTAGACTACTAAGTCGGCATCCAACGGTGTTAATATCTAACTTTAACTAATCCACGAAATTGCGCGACCATCTTTAATTGTTCTGAGGTAGATACCCGACACGGACTAGTTCCTCTGGTCGCGGCTTCTTACTAGAACTTCAAGAATTCCCTCACGGAGCTAGTTACCAGTAACCTATCAAAATGTTTTAGTTTTAAACTACAACAATGGTTAAATGTTACATTTTAAAAATGATTTTTTTTCCTGAATATCTAGATATTGTGAAAGTTCCAATAACTACATTACTTATCCAAAGGATTCTGTTTGTATTGAATCACGATGCCAAATTCAAGCAAAATGTGGTCATGTCGATGTCCCAAATGAATATTCATCTGTGAGTATACTAATGAAAAGTTCCATTTATATGAATGTTGTAAATCATACTTTTACAAGTCTATTACTTTTATTTCAACAAACACTGTTAACATTTATGCCGATTTTTAAATTTCACAGACAGCTTATAATAGTTCATACACATAGTTCCCTTTATCATTTTGAAAAGAGCAAGAACAAACATTCTAGTAAAATAGCATGAATTCATTTTTATTTTGTTGGTTCTCGTCAGCTGCTTACAACCTGTGATATTTAAACATCATAATTACATAATGGGTTTAAATTGCTTACATGAAAGAGTTTGATTGGAAGTTATATTAAAGACATATTCGTATAGTATAGCAAGGGTGTAAATAAATTTAATAGACTGAATATTGTAAATATACACACCATATGTGATGAAAGAACATTGTGACAACAGTTCAAAGGGTTAGAAACAAATAAACCTTGATAGGAATAAAATGAGTAGAGTTCAGTTGATAAAATAAAATAAGATAGTTGGAATAAAACTCAATGGTGTAATAAATGCAAGAAAGAGTTTAAAGAAAAAGAAAAAGAAATTATTAAGATATAACGAAGGAATATTAATCACCAAGGCAAAGAAAGATTAATAACCATCTCCTTTTGAACACATAAATCAGGCTTTTGGCGCCTGATAGCAACTGCTTCAGCAAACTTCAAAAGACTGGAGTTTGGCTGCTTACTAATCACCTTGAATGATTGTAGGGTATCGACCTGATGTCCTGTATCAAGAAGATGCTTGGTGATTGCACTATTTAGAGTCTTTCTTTCTCTTGTTCTGAGGCTTTTTGGGACATGTTCAAAGAATCTAAGATATGCCCTCCTTTCTGTTCGGCCAATGTAGCTGCTTTGGCAGGTACACGTAAATTTATAAATACAATTGGCGGTAACATGAAAAGGATGCTTATCAACTTTTGATTGAGTTATTGAGCATGTTGTTTTATACAGAATTTGAAGTTTGGCCGCCGGATAAGTTCTGGCTAGCGCAGTATTCAGTCTCCTGTTGATTGTGTTTGCAACCTCGTCACCTTTGAATTTAAGATTTATAGTAATTTTTTTATTGACCATAATTACTTCAGTATTGTTTTCTTTACGCCTTTTATATTGGTCAATAAACTTTAGTGGGTAAAAGTTGTCTCGCAGGCAATTTTCTACGTTCATTAATTCTTCTTCCAGTTTGTCAGTGATACATATCTTTTCTGCCCTATAAAATAGTGTTTTAACTAATGCCTTCTTGTAACTGAGTGAACAAAAGCTATTGAAATTCAGGTAAATGCCATTCCAAGTACTTTTTCGATAAATCGAACGTTGGACTGTCCCGTCTCTCCTACGTTTTATAGCAACATCAAGAAAGTGGAACATGTCATACTGTTCGTGTTCCATAGTTAATTGTATGTTAGGATGAGCGTTATTCAAGTGTTTTAGCATGTGGATTGCATGCTGTTTATTGTTACAGACAATAAACGTGTCATCAACATATATGGAATATTCCGTCGTTTCGCTAATCGTCTGTTTAAGCACCATGTTTTCACAGGTTGTAAGCAGCTCACGAGAACCAACGAAATAAAAATGAATTCATGCTATTCTGCTAGAATGTTTGTTCTTGCTCTTTTCATAATAATAGTTCGTTGAAATCTTTAAAGGTTTTTACAATATTTTAATGTATATATTTTACTTTAGCTTAAAATGAATAACTGAAGGTAAACGATGAAGAATTTCAGTCTTTCTAATACTTCCTTACTTACGCGTGTTACTTCTAGTGGAGCATAGGCCACCGACTAGAATTCGCCGACCCACTCTGTCCTTAATCTTCCTTTCTACTTCTACCCAACTCTTGTTCATTCTTCTTATGTCTGTCTCCATTTCTCGGTGTAACCTGTTCTTTGGTCTTTCTCTTCTCCTTTGACCTTGAGGGTTCCAAGTGAGGGTCTCCCTTGTGCCGTAGTTGGTTTTTTTCTTCAACGTGTGTCCCATCCACTTCCAACGTTTCTTTCTGATTTCTTCCTCTACTGGAATGTGTTTTGTTCTCTCCCATAGTGGGTTGTTGCTGATAGTGTGTGGCCACCGGATAGGAAGTATTTTGCGTAGACAATCGTTATTAAACACTTGTATCTTCTGGATGATTGGTTTCATATTTCTTCAAGTTTCCACCCCATTCAGTAGAACTGTGTTGACATTTGTATTGAAAATTCTGACTTTGGTGTTTGTTAACAGTTGTTGTGAATTACAGATTTTCTTCAATTGTAGATATGCTACTCTTGTTTTGCCGATCCATGTCCTTCTAATAATTATCAATCAAAAAATATATGTTTAGATGTGTATGACTTCTGTTAATAAATTTAGTCGACTGAAATGTACTGTTTATAGTGATTGTTTATAATGAAGTACTGTTATAAAGGTAAATCTAAGAGCATCTACAAGATATAAAGAAATACTTAAACCTTTATCTAAATCTATCAAAAGCTTGTTCATTCATTATTTTAGCGTAAAAGATTGTTCACTTTTATTCCCCATTTAATTATTTACTCAGTTCATTATATTCTCTATTGTAATTATACATTCCATTAATTTATGGACAACTTTTGAGTAACACTAAAGTTACCTTGAGAGTGTTCACCCAATAACTACAACCAAATGAGGTTTATAAATCTGTGTAAGGAATTGCAATTATGATATACATTTGATAGTTAAGGTTAGGAATTACATTTATGGTTTACATTACAAACTGACATCAGTGATAATGTCAAAACGCTATTTAGTCAAATGAATGACTGAATTTTGCGTCAAAATCCTAGACCTTTTTGACTTATAACTAAGCGGTTTGTTCATAAATTATAGTCTCATCGAATCTACTTCTTGTCTTGTGTTAAAATTTATTCAGCATGAATATATTGAAGTATAATTATTACATTTAATAAAAAAGTATTTACATTTCATGTGTTCAATATATGCTACTTAAATCACGCATATGAATCTTATTATTATTCATCAGGAATGTTCAGAAAAGTACAATGGAAGGTTGCATAGACTATACACTAATGGGAGTGGAATTCCATCTGCTGGTTATGTCCTACTTTTTGACGGTTATCAAACAAGAAGCTGTACTGGCAACGTAGCAGCTCATGCTGGATCTTGTTTAATGGATCTAGATACTGACAGGTAATTACATTGATATTTTTAATTTTATAGAAAATATATAAAAAAAATGATTTTAATAAAATCTCTTGAGTATTGTGAACCTTGTTGTTTGTTTCTTAAGAGAATAAAATTGAAACAAAGTTTTTTGTCTGTAAACTGATATTGTGGTGTGTGCAAAATAAGTAGTATATAACCAGAGTCAGGAATAGAATGTCTGTCAGCACAAGATTGAGAAGATCAAGAAGGAAAGAACGAGAACAGAAAACAATTGATATAGAAATGCAGGAATAGTGAAGAATGAGACGATTGACTGATATTTGCAAAGGCAACAATTAAGTTTGATAAAATTGATTGAAATTTTACAAATGGAGTATTTATTATGCATCTGTCATGAAAAAGTAGACTAATGAATGATGCACATTTTATTCTTGTTGTAAGTGCGTCCAGCCTATGTATCTTAAAATCGACATTATGATATTCCTGAATTTCATTGTTACACATTTACTCATGAATCTAATTTTATTGTCAGAAAGCTTTAGTTGTGTGATGTGAGCTACTTATATTGACATAAGTAGTATATAACTCTAGTCAGAAATATAATGTATTATACATAATATTTGACTAGAGTAGTCGATCGAGAAGGAAAAACGGGAACGGAAAACAATTAGTATGAAAATGCAGAAACAGTGCAGTGTGAGACGAATGACTGATATTTGAAGAGGGAGCAATCAAGTTTGAGACAACTGATTGACATTTTGCAAATGATGTATTTACTGTATGATTCTGAGATTTTACTAAGATGTTTTGTAATTTTTTGTTGAAATACATTCGATTGTTTCCATTTGTGTTCTCGTTCACTAAAGTACTTCTTTTATCTTGTCATTGATTCCACATTTTTGTTGAGCCGAAAGGTGTTTACCCCTAAACTTTTTAAGGAATTATTCGACATACATTTTCGCCAAATATGAAATTATTTCGTATTATCAAGATACTAATTTGATGAAAACGGTGACTTTTACACATTTCAAAGTCTTTTTGAGAAGAAATATTGAATTATGAATCATTTCTTTAACTCTTTGATTGACATCGGGTAGAATTTAAATCCAAATTTAAAACTATCTACATTACAAGTTGGTTACAAATGAAAACTAAAGAAAACTATAATTGAAACCAGTTAGGATGATTGATTGTGTTATCGATTGTGATGGAATTTTATTCTCTGAGCTGGATGATTTGGTTGTAGAGCTTTTATCGTTCTGCTGAACGACATCATCAGCATAAACTTCAGATAGAACTGTTACAGATCATTTATGTGAAGAATAATAGTAAATTCCATCTGTCGATTACTATAAATCATTAATACTATCTACCCTTCATAGTAAACTTGATGGTAGATAGAAAAAACATTAATATGTTCGATTGATTATGAATATCATTGATTTTGAAATGCCTGTACTGAAAGCTAGTAAATTCAAACTACCCATATTTGATTTTCTAATACTCAGTTTTTTGACGGTTGAATTCTTAAAGTCTATCTAATCACAATTGATTAATCACTGGGTGGTGATCAATCTCATGCTTGTCTAGTCCTTATTAGTGCAGATCGAATGCTATCGATCATGTTGCAATGTGGCCACCAGTCTAGGTGACTCGACACTGCGGGCACTATGTATTGAGATTAGATGGTGGTTGGAGGTAGTCAACAGGAAACCCTGTTTTTTAAATCGTGCTACTTGGCACTCGTCAGCAAGGTGTACCTGTAATCTTGGGGGAACTGGTGCTCCCTGGCGGATCCGATCTCGTGTCACCCAGCTTCACAGTCAGAGACGTTACCACTGAGCTATCCGAGCCGTGACTGACCTCCTGTAGGACTGAGATGTAATCACAATTGATTGATCACTGGGTGGTGATCAATCTCATGCTTGTCTAGTCCTTATTAGTGCAGATCGAATGCTATCGATCATGTTGCAATGTGGCCACCAGTCTAGGTGACTCGAATCCGCCAGGGAGCAACAGTTCCCTCAAGATTACAGGTACACCTTGCTGACGAGTGCCAAGTAGCACGAAACCCGGGTCCAGGGTTTCCTGTTGACTACCTCCAACCATCATCTAATCTTAAAGTCTATCTAAGCTAGATTACCATTGAAAACCTGGAAACACTAGAAGACCGTTTCGTCCTAGTAGAAATGTAAACAAAAAATGAAATAATAACATAAACAAATTCACTTGGTGTTGTTTTACTCTTATCTTCCCATCATTGTGTAGAACTGTAATTGATCAGTCTCTTGTTGGCATATGCTTATCCTGTGCGGATTGTCTCGATATTGCTTTAAGTCATGAGTATTATAAGCAAAGATTGATCTTTGTTCCAGACTGAACATCAACTCTGAGATAAAGGTACATTCAGTTGATGAGTGTCAAATAGGACGAAACACACTTACTGGATTCTTCTGCTAGCCACTATCCATTTTTACTTAATAACATAATCAATTTTGAAATAAAATTTTAAGAGAAATTATACTGGTATTTGTTTATATTGTAGACCAATTCTTGGATATGTTAATGTATGTCCAGGTAAACTAAAAATTGAATATCCTGAGAATAGATATTCACTTGGAATTTTCACTCATGAAATTGCTCATGCACTTGTAAGTTTATCTATTCTCTTAGTAACATTTATTTGAAATGAACACTATCAATATATTACATCATCTTGGTTGAAGTTCGTTTACGAACTTTATGTATTCTGAACATGCGTTTACTTAATATTATAATCAAAGAGTGGTTTTGTGGTAATTATAGTAATTTAAAAGTTGAATTTATGATTCGATTGAAGTTAGACCAACATGGAAAATCTGGAAGCACTGAACTACTGTTTCGTTCTATTGTGAAACTCCTCAGCAGTGCTCATCCACGATCTCACCTCGTGAGATACGAACCCAAGACATGTAGGTCTCGTGCGCGAACGCCCAACCTCTAGACCACTGGGTTGACATCCAACAGTGTTAACGTCTAACTTCAGCCAATCCACTGACCGGCGGAGTTTAACCATGTCTGTTGTGAGATAGTAAGTCACTGATGACAATGATGGACGGTGGTGCGACTTTGTGGATCAGTGGTTTAGAGGTTAGGCGTTTGCGCGCGTAACTGGCAGGTCCTGCGTTCGATTCTCATGAGGCGGGATTATGGATGCGCACTGTTGAGGAGTCCTACAATGGAATGAAACGGCCATTCAGTTCATTCAGATTTTCCATGGTGGTTCAGCTTTAATTAACTCATGGATTCAACTATTAAATTAGTTTGCTTCATAAACTGAAATAATTCCAGCTTTATAAAATCTGATATTCAGACGTTTAATATAATGATAAATCATGTGAAGAGTCGATAGTTATCCTAAAATAATCTACTTTTCAGACATAAAGACTGAATAAATTTAAGGTAAATGGGTAGTTACAAAGATTTGATTCAGTTGAGAATTAACTACCATTGATCAATTCACTTATTCATTCACTATTAGATCTATATTTTGACATCAATGATATACGTTGCTCACATTTGAGATTGTATATTCGCCATAAAAACAAACAAACAAACAATATCCTCTTTTGTTTTTAGGGATTCTCATCATCTAGTTTTGCATTTATGCGCTTTCCTAATGGAACTGAACGAACTCCCAGAGATCATTGGCACAAACCGATTCACAGGGATAAACAAGGTTATTATATACCAAGGTAATTATTTCTAATAAATATGTATCAGGTAATTATGATTAAAGGCAAATCTATTGAGTAAATTCAAGAGAAACTCCTGGAGTTTTAGTGAGAAGTACAGTGTACGGTGTACGGTGGCGCTACTTCGTGGATTGGTTGAAATTAGACATTAACACCGTTGGATGCCGGCTCAGTGGTCTAGTTGGTTGAGCGCCTGGCGCGATGCTGATAGGTCCTGAGTTCGAGTCTCGCGGGGTGCGTGATTGTGGATGTGCACTGCTGAGGAATCGCACACTAGGACAAAACGGCCGTTCAGTGCTTCCAGGTTTTCTATCGCGGTCTAGCTTCAATTGACTCATGATTTCAACCAGTGAAATTTTTAAAATTTCCACAAAACCCATTCTGATAAAAATATAAAGAATTCAACGAAGAAAAATTTCTATTTGGCGAAATCATTTACTTTAGTTTAACATTCATATTTATACTTGAAAGGTAAATATATGAGTCTATAGAAGGATAGAGAAGATGACATCATAAAATGAACTGAGACTACAGTTCAGTTATTAACATAACCATCATTTTATTCGTTTTTCTCCTTCAGATCTGTCACGTGAACAATTCTAACCCGTAAATTATTTTCATTCATGTATTCTTCCCTACCGCCTCCCACTTCGTGACTATTACGCAACCTCATTTGGTATCTATAGTCTCGGTTCACTTTATGATGTTATCTTTTATGAACATTTATTTGACCAGACAACAATAAATACAAATGTACATCTTAAGTAAATGATGTCATGGAAATGAAAGTTTACTTTGTTGAGTTTGTTACAGTATACTTATAAGATTATATTTAAACTTATAATGTTATTTGATATGATGATCATTCTCATTGAAACTTCTAATATTTTACAATTTCTGAAAAGTGAAATGATGTTGAAACAATAGGTTTATATTACTTACTAACTTGATTACTTACTTACGACGCCGACCAGTATTCTCTGTCTTCGGCCTTCCTTTCTAGTTCTATCCAGTAATTTATATTGGGCAGAGTTCAAATCAAGCTAAAAATAAGCGAACGATGGGAAAGGTAGGTTTGACGAATTACCTAATATAGTTTTACAAGCAAATATATAACAGCAATAAAGTAAGTAAGTAAGTAAGTAAGTAAGTAAGTAAGTAAGTAAGTAAGTAAGTAAGTAAGTAAGTAAGTAAGTAAGTAAGTAAGTAAGTAAGTAAGTAAGTAAGTAAGTAAGTAAGTAAGTAAGTAAGTAAGTAAGTAAGTAAGTAAGTAAGTAAGTAAGTAAGTAAGTAAGTAAGTAAGTAAGTAAGTAAGTAAGTAAGTAAGTAAGTAAGTAAGTAAGTAAGTAAGTAAGTAAGTAAGTAAGTAAGTAAGTAAGTAAGTAAGTAAGTAAGTAAGTAAGTAAGTAAGTAAGTAAGTAAGTAAGTAAGTAAGTAAGTAAGTAAGTAAGTAAGTAAGTAAGTAAGTAAGTAAGTAAGTAAGTAAGTAAGTAAGTAAGTAAGTAAGTAAGTAAGTAAGTAAGTAAGTAAGTAAGTAAGTAAGTAAGTAAGTAAGTAAGTAAGTAAGTAAGTAAGTAAGTAAGTAAGTAAGTAAGTAAGTAAGTAAGTAAGTAAGTAAGTAAGTAAGTAAGTAAGTAAGTAAGTAAGTAAGTAAGTAAGTAAGTAAGTAAGTAAGTAAGTAAGTAAGTAAGTAAGTAAGTAAGTAAGTAAGTAAGTAAGTAAGTAAGTAAGTAAGTAAGTAAGTAAGTAAGTAAGTAAGTAAGTAAGTAAGTAAGTAAGTAAGTAAGTAAGTAAGTAAGTAAGTAAGTAAGTAAGTAAGTAAGTAAGTAAGTAAGTAAGTAAGTAAGTAAGTAAGTAAGTAAGTAAGTAAGTAAGTAAGTAAGTAAGTAAGTAAGTAAGTAAGTAAGTAAGTAAGTAAGTAAGTAAGTAAGTAAGTAAGTAAGTAAGTAAGTAAGTAAGTAAGTAAGTAAGTAAGTAAGTAAGTAAGTAAGTAAGTAAGTAAGTAAGTAAGGAAGTAAGTAAGTAAGTAAGTAAGTAAGTAAGTAAGTAAGTAAGTAAGTAAGTAAGTAAGTAAGTAAGTAAGTAAGTAAGTAAGTAAGTAAGTAAGTAAGTAAGTAAGTAAGTAAGTAAGTAAGTAAGTAAGTAAGTAAGTAAGTAAGTAAGTAAGTAAGTAAGTAAGTAAGTAAGTAAGTAAGTAAGTAAGTAAGTAAGTAAGTAAGTAAGTAAGTAAGTAAGTAAGTAAGTAAGTAAGTAAGTAAGTAAGTAAGTAAGTAAGTAAGTAAGTAAGTAAGTAAGTAAGTAAGTAAGTAAGTAAGTAAGTAAGTAAGTAAGTAAGGAAGTAAGTAAGTAAGTAAGTAAGTAAGTAAGTAAGTAAGTAAGTAAGTAAGTAAGTAAGTAAGTAAGTAAGTAAGTAAGTAAGTAAGTAAGTAAGTAAGTAAGTAAGTAAGTAAGTAAGTAAGTAAGTAAGTAAGTAAGTAAGTAAGTAAGTAAGTAAGTAAGT